ACTTCAGACACATCAGCATTTACCAATTTTAGATAGTCAAATATATAAAAAAAAATTGGGTACTTAAACTACAGCCTTTTCATTTAAAAACGTACTAGAACATTTCTTAAAACTAGCTTCTATACCTTTAAAAATTATTCTTGTTGTAAAAATTACTCTTATAGTAATTCATTCTCATTTTTTAATCTAATATTGAAAATAATTTTTTAGTGAAATTTCATTTTGAGGGAAAAACTCACTTGCAATGTTAAATTGATTCAATATAATGTATATTGGATAATGATTTATTAACACTGTTAAAGAAAATGAACAAAAGAATGGTTTTTGAACATGCTTATTAATTGTGGACGTATACAGTCTTTTGAAGTTTCATTATATCCTAAATAGTTGTATTATCTTAAATAAATATTTTAATACTTATCATTTAAATATTTAAAAATAATGGAATTATTATTAAATCAAAATAAAAATATATTGTATAATAATGTAATCACAAATCCATGATGAATAGTAGCCAAAATTTTTAAATATTGTCATATTAGCATTTTATGAGAGATTATTAGATACATCCAAAATTGAATTTATTTTCTCTCTCATATAAAAATAAGATCTACCATGAAAATTATGTGATTTTTTTGTATGGAGAAAACTCCTAATATATAGAATAATTCTTAAATATATCCAGGGGTGGGCATTCATGCAATTCAAGTGAAATTTTATTTTTTCGGATAATTACTTTCTCTACTCTTTTAAACAATTCAGGTGATTGACAGAAGTCGAATTTTTTACCCACTATGCCATTGCATTATTTTTTGACCGAAAATACTATATACAAAATTACAACTAGCTAGACAAGGACAAAGAAAAGTTTTGACTAACCAAAATTGCATCCAAAGAAAATCTATAAGGCCATTAGTTTTCAAAATTTATAGATAAGAGTAAATGAAAAATACAATTTGAGTAATCAGAATTTGTTTGGTATTACTCGAATTACCTAAAAAATTAAATTAATCACTTGAATTAATTACTTTCTAGATTTTTTATTATAAACCTGATTGTTCACATTATAAATATGATCTTATATACTTAGTCATTCACATTGTAAATGTGATCATTTTCTTATATTTGTATTTGATTAAAAAACTTAATAAAATTTGCTAGTACAGTCGTAAATAGATGTATCATGGAATCAAGTAAATCTTGTGATTGATGTTTTCAGATATATATATATTCGCATTCGTTTCTTAGCGTTGCTAACAATAGATGTGACTCTTAAGCCTCCTACGTGTCAAACTCTAACTGGATGGGTTTTCATATGTTTTGATAGACTTTCGTGAAGCCGCTCTCTTGCTTTTTCTGACAGAGGCGTGTAATGCACCACCTATCAAATGGACATTTGTCCGATTTTTCAGGCTTCCACGTCACGTTGTCAATACAGTTTATTAACAACATATTGTCAACCGATCTTTTCCCCGCCTTCCAACGTATTCGACACAATCATTCCCAAGGCATCGAGCGAGCACGAGTGAGAAATAAAAAAGGAAAAATTGATCATTTGTAAGTAAAAAAAATGAAATTAGGTGTCACCATCTGTTCCACCTTCTCTGAAATAATGTTTATAAAAAATTATTTAAATACATTTAAGATAATTTACTTATATGAAATTTTTTTAATCCTTTAAATAAATAGTTTTGAATTTGAGTATTTATATATATTAAAAATCTTTTTAAATAATTATGATGATTTTGTTTATCCAAGAGAATAATGGAAGATTAATCTAAAATTTTTAACCTAAATTATCTTAAAATTAAAAAAAAATCTAAACTTTTGGATATGTGATACCTTTTATATATAAGAAATGAGTTGAAAACTTAGAAAGAAGCCATTCAGTTTTTTTTTTCCGAAAAATTCAACTTAGGTACTAAATGGTTGCTCAGTTAGAGATGACGAACAATGCCTTAAATTAACAAAGGCAGAGCAATTCTTTCACATTCAGTTTTCTTGCTAATTTCGTGGAATTCGTTAAAAATGATCAGATCAGATCTGCTTGTCCAAATAGAGCACCGAAATGCAAAATTCTACAAGTAACTATCAACACCAGTAAGAAAAGCGGTCCAATGAGAGGTGTTCCTCCACCCGTAGACACCAGAAAACGATATGATCACCTCGGGATAGAATACAAGGAAGAAGATAAAAAAAAACACTCAAATGTACGTATTCGTGACAGGAAAAAGTGTTTCTTTTTATTTATTTATTTAAAATTATCAATTTTTATTTCTCTATAATATATATTTATTTTCTGAAAGTAGAGAGATTTGGTTTAAATTAATTCGTTATTTTTTTTACTTTCAATTTGAAATATTAAAATACTTTTTTTGGTTGTTTCGGCCTTTCTAATCCTGGCGGTGGTTTTGTAATATTAAGAAAACAAAATAACCTAAGAAACTGTGTGCCGAGAATTTCAATGGACACATGGCGTGCTGCTAGGCATTACTTATTGAACTCCGTTATTAAGAGAGAGCTTACATTAAATAAATAATTGTTAATGCATAAGGATTCAATCAACCATTATCTTGACTGAGAGATCTAATTAAATATGTTTTAGATGGATAGAGAGTACCAAATATATTAACAAATTCTTCAAATCTTTGAACATTTATAATTAGGCAATTCTTTAATATAGTTTTTACATTTCTAATCGTGTCAATTATCTCATTATATAATATTTTATTTTTTAATATATCCTTCAATCAATTTTTTTTACTCAAATTGATAAAATTATACTTTTTATTCTAAAATTGCCCTTGAGTTATATAAAAATATAAAATAAAATATCTCAAAATTGTTGAAACTATATTTTAAAAAATAAAAATTTTAAGATTACTCGACTATTTTTAAAAATAAAATTAGCTCATTTTTAGCTTTAGGATGAAAAATATAATTATGCCAATTTAGATTGAAAAAAACTTTATAAAAGAATATATTGGAAAAATAAATACTATATAAAAACATAATAGACACAATTAAAAGCATAAAAAAAATTAAAATTTTATATAATAAATCGAGCTATTTATTCAATATACAAGTCATGGGATTTATGTCTTATTAATATGGAATTGTTTGGATCGAAGGTATTCTCTTTTTTTTTTTTTTTGTGCTTTACCATTGCCTTATTGCGTTGTATCTTAGGGTTAATCGACACTGGCATCTGCTTTATAGGCTGATTAGATGTACACAAACACAATACATCATTATGTTGGGCTTATCAGACTGGTGGGTGGATTGCTAACGCCAAATAACCAAAAATATAAATATAAGAGACCAGAGCTTTAGAGATAGCAAGAAAAGATAATTTTCTTTTTTAATTTTGCTGTACCGTTGGCTCCCATAAACTCCATCATCGTTGCTTCATGTAATTTTCTTTTGAACTATTATGGAAATATTTATAATGCTTTCATTTTTTTTGTTTATTGTTGCAATCCATAATTAGCAGAGATGGAAATTGTTATTTGAACTCTTACCCAATAATAATAATAATAATAATAATAATAAAGGTTGAGTTGGTGAACTTATAGTCAAACCATGAGTTAATCACTTTTAAAATTTACAAAATTAGCATTGCAAATCCAAAGTTTTCTAATACAAATCAACAATTAATAAAGCAAGCATTCTTGCCACTTGTTTTCTTTTTCTCTCTGCATTCTCAATTTGTTTTTTTGTTTTTTTTTAAAGCTTAAAACTTATGCCTGGCAAATTTAAGAGTAAATTACAAATTAATCCTTTTAGTTTCAAGAAATAAATTAACTAGTCTATTTTGTTTTAAAAGTCGGTATTTAATTTTTTTAATCAGTGTTGATTATAATTAATTTAATATTATTTTTATTCTATAAAATCTCTTATTTGTCATTGATTTTTTCATATTTTTTTATTTCTGAAGATAAAAAATCAAAATAAATTAAAAGAAGTAAAAAAGTTAAATTATAAGTAGATTTTAAAATATAAAGACTAAATAATTAGTTTTTTTATTTTTATTTTTCGAAACAAGAGGGCATTTATAATTTACTTACAAATTTAGACCAGCTATGAGAAATTAAGCTTTTCTAGCCGTTTAGTCCACATGATGGGAAAATTTGATTAATAAGAAGGAATTTTTTGAAACAAATAACTACTAAACTATTGTTTGTACTAAAGGAATTATTTAATTTAATTTAATTTCAATAAACTACAGGGACTAAAATATAATTACCTCCATCAAAATCACATCTGAAAGAAAGCACATGGCGTATGTTAGCGGACACCCTCTTTTATCTCCCAAGGAAGAGATCTTTTCATTACAACCCTCCAGTCTGCCTCTCTTTACTTTCACATCTTTGATTTGCTTAAGAAAAAATCTTGTTTCAATTTCTTTGAAACATCTAAATTTTGGCCTTCTTGGAAGCTTCATTTACAGTTTAATAACAGAGAAATCTAACAATTTGGATTTCTTTCCAGTCTTGAAAGTGATTTTTTTTTCTGAGGTAAGAACCAGCCATGGTTTGTATTTATCTTCTATTTTGATTTGACGTTATAATTTTGCATTTTTGAGGTCATTATTGATAATATTGGGTCATGGGTTTTGCTTTTCTTAGAGTTTTGATTATGGTTGAAAAGCGGATGTGGTAAATTGGAGCTCTTAATTTTTAGTGTTTTCAAACAGAAAGTTTGAGACTTTGTTATTTTGGTAGATTTGGATTCGATGGAGTAGGTAATGATCTCGAGATGGGAAAAAATGATTTTTTTTCCCTGGAATTTTGTGATATTGATTTCTTGAAAAAAAGGGAATTTAAGGAAATTTGAATTTGGGGGTTTAAATTGTGTTGTTTTTGGGTGGAAAGAGCTAGGATGTGAGTTGTTTTGATCATTTGATTGTATGAAATCGGTGAGTTGGAGTTAGTCTCGAGAGTTACTTGGTGGTCGCAATTTAGGGTTTTTATATCATTTAGTTCAAAGTCTGCATAAAAATGGACGATACTGAGGATGATGCTAGGTACCCACCAAATCCATATGGTGAAAACAACCAGCAGAGTTATGGTTCTAACCGTCACAAACTTCCTCTGGCGAATGCTACATATTCTAGGCCAGTTGATAATCAATATGCTGTTGATGAAGATGAGGATGGTGATGATGAAGAAGAAGATGAGCACGAGCTAGGAGAGGAAGATGGAGAGAACAATCAGAATAACGGCATCCTTTATGTGGGAAAAGATGTGGATGATGATGATGATGAGGATGATGATGATGAGGTTGTTGATGACGAGGAGGATGAGGATGATAATCAAAGGTATATTAAGAGGATTGACGACGAAGACGAAGACGATGACGAAGATATAGAAAGGCATCCAAAAAAGCGAAAGCTAAAGAGTTTAGTTTCAAGTTATGAATTCGCTCCTCGTGTTCCGGCACCTTCTGTTGCAGCTCCAGCAGTGCCAAAACCATCAGTTGGCGGACGAAATCCTCTTACAGACTGGACGGAGCATGAAACATTTGTTTTGCTAGATGCTTGGGGTGAAAAGTTTTTGCAACGTGGGAAGAAGAGTCTTCGATCTGACGAATGGCAAGAAGTTGCAGAGAAAGTGTCAAAGAAATCGAAGATTGAGAGGACAGACACACAATGTAGAAATCGTTTAGATACATTGAAAAAGAAGTACAAGATTGAGAGAGGTGTTGATGCTAGCAAATGGGTTTACTTTAAGAAAATGGACATTCTAATGTCAACATCGGCTCAGCAAGGTGGACTCTCCTGTGGGCTGGATTCAGGAGAGTATGTTTTCACGAACCCAAAAGTACATTCAAACCGTGCCAACGGGTTGGATGAGATGAGGGATAGTCCGGGGAATTCAGAATCAGCTCGTGATGAGGATGATTCAGATGGACTCCCACCCAAGAAGAGAAGGCTTGGAAGAGACTGCAATGAGCAGTCCTCTTTCGGATTGCTTGCAGATTCTATTCAGAAATTTAGTGAGATATATGAGAAGATTGAGAGTAGTAAAAGGAAGCAGATGATGGAACTAGAGAAGATGAGGATGGACTTTCAGAGAGATTTGGAAATGCAAAAGAGGCAAATTATTGAGAGAGCACAGGCAGAGATAGCCAAAATTCATCAAGGCAGCGAAGAGGAGGACAACATCTCTGCCGATAGTGCTTAGCATGAGCGATTCTGTATCTAATTTTCTGTGTAACATTTAATCAACATACTTTCTGCTCGTACTGTACAATGTTGGGGCCGTTTGCACTTTGTTTACTATGTTGTAAACGCTATCGAATAGCTTATTGTGTTAGTTACGATAGAAGAAATGGGAAAGGAAGATGATTACTACTGACGATTGTGGCGATGGTGTCTTCTTTGTCCAATTTTTGCTCGTGGTGGACATCTATGTATGATTTGTTAATGATCGAGCACCCTTAATTGACTGACATTGCCAGCAAATAAATTCAGTAAGTTTCTTTGCATGTCAGTGCAGACGTCATTGTATATTTCAGTATCCTAAGTCTGCGTTCTAATGTTTCATGATAGGGTCAGTTTGTCCATTTCTTTCTTCTAGTGAAACTTGCAGGATTCAATAATCTCATTGAAGGTCATTTATAAATGTGGAAGATGAATTTATTGCCTTTAAGACTTTCTTTGGAAATATGCTACTGGAGCACCAACTTTGTTCGTATCAAATGCAGAAGAGAGTATAATAGTGCGCAAAATTTAAGATCCTTTGGCCCTACTTTACTCCAAAAAAATTTCGGGCATAAAAAGCAGTGTAGGGGAACGAAAATCTTAAGAAGCGCTTAACCAAAATCCGTAGTGCATTGAAGAAAACTACCAGCAGATTAAGACTGCGAAACTTCATTTATTCTTGCACCAGAAAATCCCCTCTCCCCTCCCCCTCCTCTGATATCAGCAACCTGGAGAGTTTATAGTTTTTTCATTACAAACCCAAAAGTTTAAATTAAAGAATGACCGGTTCTACTGCTTTCCATTATGCAGAACTCAAGGCTTTTGACTTCTCAGTCTTGATTAGTTCTGCAGAAACTGGTGGAACCTTACCGCTGGCAACTTTGGCATTCTAAATGGCACCAACGTTAGCATCTAAACAACAACCACCACATCGTAAGCTACTCTAACAAAACAAACAACTGATTGCAAAGTATATTATTAAGAACAACAACAATGTGCAACTCACCTTCAAGCCTTTGTAACGCCAAGAAGAATTGCTCTGGATCTTTCAGGCCATCAACATCCAAAGTTGGTTCCATATTCACAGTTACGTGCAATGACTTGAGAAACCATTCACAACAAACCTCTAGAGATAGGAAAGTGCAATGACTTGAGAACCTTTGGCAACTTAGGATTAAAAAAAATGGCAGCCAACAGAACACTTGACATGCAGGATGGAGGTTTTAGGGCTCGTTAATGTCAGAGCAGCTCCCATTCTTTTGCAGTCCAATGAACCAACTATTTGCTACGAAACCATGCCATGTATAGTGAAAGTTTCACACTTTGATTCATTGTTAAGCACAACATCAATCTAACTAATCTTTGCAACTAAAAGAGTGCAGATCTCATTGTCCTAATAAAAACCAACCGCATCCGCACTCTGTAAAAATTTACCTATCTGTTTGATAAAAGGAAGGGGCAACCGGCATACAACAGTAAAAAATGGAGTCTACTGCAGGATAATTGACAAATGAGAGGAGAAAATAATCACCGTAAATAATTGCTGAGGGATTGAAGGATGCGCGTACGCTAAAAAGCTGAATCTGTTTCTTTTTACCTGGATTCAACCTATTTATAAACAATCTCACAAACCAAATAAACATGGATCATCCTGAATTTAAAATGACACCCAGATATTATGCAATTAACATCAGCATATGTAAATTAAAATATTTCCTTCTTTTCCATGAGATGCAATTGGCATTCCAGTTCAGTACATTAGTTGGCATGCACAGCCAAACCACACTGTAATAGAGCAGTAACCATTTACCAGGTTCATACTCACATCAGTCCAGCGTAAATATATCCATGAAAGTAGTAAAGGCTGCCTGTAAATCATATACTGATGCATGTTTCAATGTAATTTTTATGTTCTTTTATTAACCAAAAAATAAAGAACATTCCGCATTACTCATGAAAAAAAAAAAAATCTTTTGTTTTGCTTTCCACTGATATGCTTTTTACATATTTTGACATGAAAACGAAGTTATGTGAAATACACCAGATTACTCCAAGGAGCGACCGAGCTCCCTCATATCATAGCTGTGATCTCTAGGCTCCAGGGCAACTATTTCTTTCACGACTTGAGCTTTGTCTACCTCAAATCGCTCATCCTTTTTAACTGTCTTGAAATCAGCAAGGAAACGAAGAAGCTTGCTCCTATTTGCCACAAGTATGGTAACGATTTCGGAAGGCTTATTTTGATTTGCAGCAAAGAGCTTGAAAACATGAAGTGCTTCTACCGGGATGCTCTTACTTGAATCCCTGAGGAGATTCATAACAATCCTCAAATTGTTACTTGAGCGCACGTATCGAGCCGTCACAACTGAATTAGAGCGATCCAATAGTATGTCTCCCAACAGCTTGATAGCTTGTCTTCTTGTAATATAATCGGTGGATTCCAGCAGCTTCGAATTAAATTCCGCAAAGAACCATTCATAGTTCTTGGAAAGAAAATCAGCAACGAGAGAATATTTATGCCTTGTCAAGAGTTCCTTAAAAGTTGCCGCAGCATCTGCGGCAACGTCGAAATACGGAAGCTGTATATAATCAAATAACTTCTTCAGATGCACTGGTGATTCCAGAACATATCTTGCGGCACTCTGGTGGCGCAAACACCCCTCAACATTGCACCGTAGTGGATAGCCATGTCTATGTTTTCGTAACCTGCTACCAAAAGATCCAAAACATCGGTATTTTTCTCTGAGTATTCTGATGCAATCAATCGGGACTGAACTTTCTGCAGTTGTAGATTTGCGACAACTTGAGTGGCAGCTCTTTGGGCCTCCAAGGTCAATTTGGGAAGACAGATGATGAGAAGACGAAGTGTGTTCTCTCTGAAGAACTCCTCGGTCAATTGTGCACAGGCTTTTGGCACTGGATCAGACTCATCGCTGCCATAAAGAATCGACTTTAACTCCATAATATTCTTAGCCAATGCCTCTTGTTTTTTGGAATCATGAAGATCAGAGGAACAAACTTGGATTAAAACAGAGCGAGTCTGTCGAAGAATTTCGACGGCAGTCCTCTTAGGTTTTGATTTGAAAAATCCCATCTCAAATCAATCAACAAGTTTGTAACAATTTGGGTTTTTTATAGGTGATGGAGAAACCGACTTGCATGGCTTGTTTTTTTTAACCTCGGTTTAACCCCTAACCTATTATCGCATGATCAATTGAGTTTAAATCTTTTAATTTTATCAATTTTGCCTAAACATAGCAAGCATAAGACAATTTCATCCTTTATTCCATCCACCATTAGTGATGGTTAAATATTTTTAAAAACCTCTATTTGAGCTCTAATGCATTATCTCATTATTAATTCGATCAGAGGCACCAAAATAAGCCCCTCCATAAGCCCTATGAAATAATTTTTGCATCAAATCATAGTTATTTTTCCTACTTTTTCTCCACTTCATAGTAAAAAAAATAAAATGAAATGTACTATGATTTGAATCTAAATTAAATTCTTCATATGGCATATTGAATTTATTTTGGCACTTATAATGGAAACAATGCATGCATATTAAAAGGGATATTTAACTACCATTAACAATGAATGGTGTTAAAAATGTCATTGTCTATTAATGTTTATTATGTTTGGAGTAAATTAATAACATGCTAATATATGTATAATTAAGGACTTAATTGTCTAATATTCATTGCGTTTGAGAGGTTCTTTCAATTTTTAGTTTTATTTTATTTTATTATTATTTTAAAAAAGTTGTTTAACATGATAAGGATTAGATTTGTTAAGATAATGACCGAACAACAATAGACATCGCGCGTTGCCCGTCAAGAAATATTTAACATTTGATTTGGGATTTGTTGGAGTGAACGATTATGAGCGATTTAATTGTTGACAATTTATAAATCGTTTTATTTTTATTTTTTTCAGTGAGTTTTAAAATCTTCCTTCTTCTCTCTCTCTCTCTCTTTTAGGCTTTATCCAATTTATGATAGTAGCATTATTTTTCTTCTTTGTCTTCAACGATTTTGAATCTAGTAGTCTTGGTCTAGTGTATTTTAATTTTAATCTACAATTTTATTTTCTTTTATTTATTTATTTCTTTTGAGGTACTGCAAGATAGATTTTGCAAGGATGTTGGCGGTTAGTGTCTAAATTTTATAGTAAAAAAAGATATATAGTGAGTGAAATATTTTAAAATAACAAATCCATTGGTGGATTATCAAAGTAAAATATATGTTTCGGTGAGAAATTTGTTTTTCTCAGATCAGGCATTTGAAAATTTTTTTCTAGGTATGTTTTTGAGTATTTATAGATGACATGAAAGCCCTTTTTATTCTCTATTATTAGAGAACGTCAAAAAAAAAAAAAAAAAACAACAAGAAGAAGAAAAGATCATAAGCCATAAATATATATATAACTTATTAATTTTATTCTATGATAGGTTGTAAATAAATAAAAAATAAACTTTCAAAAGATAGTACAATAATTTTCTAAGATTGGATCTTCAAAAACTCTGTTGAAATATTCAATTTGTGTTTAAATATAGAAAATAACTCTATTTTTTAGAAAAATATATATCTCCATAGCGTTTTATATTTAAATAATTTGTTGATCATAGAAAACAGTACTCCTTACTCGCTACTATCTAGTCCAAGTTAATAAATATTCCTTAGGCATCACCAAAAAAAAAAAAAAAAAAACACAATAAAAAAGGAAAACCCTGAAATATAATGTTCAGAAAAAACAAGTATCATCGCATAAATGGACATGAAGCACGACTGACTGGTTTAGAAATTAAACTAGAAGAATTTCTTGTGTAATTCTCGAGAAGTTTCTCTTGTGAAATTCTCTTTGCTATTGCCAAAAATAATGTAGTTATTATGATGATGAAAACATGCCACTTTGCAAGTTTTTTTCAAGCACAAGGTCATTTGGACGAAATTTGAACCTTCGTGACTGACAATTAGTAATTGTGGCGGATGATTGTATATAAATATGTTTTGAATTTTTATTGTTATTATACCAATAATTGGTTGCAAGCCAAAAATTAACAATAATAATTTCAATAATTATAATTTTTGCTATGCACATTTTTAAGTGATTGAATATGGTTATAGTTGCTCATACATGGATTAAGAACTCATAAAATATCGACTTAAACACACGTATATTTTCCTTTTTCTTTTTAACCAAATCTATGGTGAGTAGGTCCAACAATTTCAATAAGAATCTTTGGTTTTGATTTAACGAAACTTTTTGAATTTATGTACAAGAAAATTAATAAAACATCAATTAATTCATGTTCATCAGCTCTTTTGAGTACCATTGTTAATGTTTATAGAGAGATGTTGGACCAATATTGTTGACAATTATATTACCTAATGTGTTAGTTGCAAATCGGTTTTTTCTTTTTCCAAAACAATTATAATCTAGACTACTAGTGAATAAGTTCTTAAATCTTCCATTTTTGTTTTCAAATCAAGTTCATGTGCCGCTACTAACTATTTTTATAACCTAACTTTCATATTAATTTAATTCTATAATACAATTTCAAAAGATTAATGTTAGAATAATTTGTAACTAATTATTCACTACAATCACCAACAAAATTTTACAAATGATTGTAGTTTTGTAATAATCATTTTTCATCATTTAAGTATAGTTTAGGTGGTGTTTGAGATAATAGTAAAAAAATAGAGATAAATTATTAAAATATTTATTATTAAAATATTTTTAAGGTGTAAAAATGATTTTTAAGAATATTTAATGTATTTATAAATCAAAAAAATCAAATGTTAGTATAAATAGAGAAAAAATAATTAAATAATTAATAATAATTAATAAGAAATAATTAAAAATTAATTTCATATATTTTAAATAAAAATAATACAGAAAAAAATTATTAAAATATATCAAGAGAGAGGTAAGTAATGTGAGAACGAGACAACTCGTGAGAAGGAAAATATTTATCTTTTTTTCAACTCGGAAAAATATTTTTTCAAAAGTACTCTATCATTTTCCATTGACTAAAAATCATTTTTTGTTGAATTTTTTTCTAAACGCGAAACAAACACTCGAAAAATGAAAAAAGCAAGTTCTTGTTTTTCAAAAAAAAAAAAACACGACCTAAGTTAATCTCAATTTTAGTTTACCAACTTATTGTTTTTTTTTTCAATCAAATGTGTATTCTTTAATTTTTATTATTTGAGTAATCCAAGTTGTAAATTTTTTTCTAATCGAGTGTCTCCGTCTAGTTTTCGTTAATTTTCCTCGTTTTTGCCTACGTGGTTGGTTATGAGACCCATGTAACATGTAACTATGATGTGGTAATTACGTGCGAGACAAGTGATCGTCACGTGTAAAACATGTAGAAGAAACAAAAAAAATTCAATGATTTTTCAATCCCTTCTTTTTGAAAATGCCACGGTCAATCATTTTTCGGTCGTTGTTTTCTCTCCCTACTCCCATAAACCGAGTTGAAACCCATCCAAAAACCATCTCTCTCACGACCACATACCCAAACAACACCTAAACGAACCAAATCTTCCATTCTTTTCCTTTTCCTATTCCCTAAATCATCATTTTTCCATTTTCTCCAAAATCATATTCCTAAAAAAGAATCAAAATCAAAATAAAAAAACCCACCTTTCATTCAAAGACAAAGAATGTAGAGTTCACTATCACTTCGTTCGTGAGAAAGTGGAAGAAGGAATTGTGGATATACAAAAAATTCATACAAAAGACAACTTAGCAGATTTTCTTACGAAAGGCAATCAATGCTGATAAATTTATTTGGTGTCGATCCTTATGTGGCATGATGAAGACATAAGCAACATGGGAATGGCAAGATAGAAAGAATAGTGTGAAGATTTGATTGACTCTCAATCAAATCTTAAAGTAAGAGATTGTTGAGATGAATAAAAAAATAATTAAAAAAGGGACGAGTAATCAAATTGTCTACGGAACCACGGACAACTTGGAATGAGTTGTCCACGATTTCATGGACAACTTGGAAATGCAAGTTGGGTCACGACTTGCATTTTGCAAGTCGTGACCAGCATTGCACCGCCTCAATTGAGGCGAGTGCAATGCAATGCAAGGGAGAGGCCTATAAATTGGCCTCCCCACCTTATTTCATCCATCAAATATATATATATATATATATAATTAAAGAAAGAGCCTCTAGTTCAATCTTCAAATCCTCTATCAAAGAGAGTTTAATTCCTAAAGAATATAGAGAGTGTTTTTCTTATTTAAAGAAAGAAAATTATTATTTTCTCCTTATAGTATAGAGAGAAGTTGTAACTTCTATTATTTCTCGTAGTGAAATCTTTCTATCTTGTTCATGATTTTTTTCCTTAATTTGTTTAAGGGCTTTCTATGTAAAATCTATGTGTTCAATATTATTGTTACGTCAAATTTATTAGCCAAGAATCATGCTCTATTCGATCAATAACATAATAATTTTTTGTTCCATTCAACCTCCATTTTCGTTCTCTTTTGGTATTATTCACTATTGCAAAGTAGGGATCAATTTTTAAAAGAGTGCAGCAGATAGTAAGAGTTTCAAGAGTAATGGTTTTTGAAATAAAGATAGTTGTTTGGCAAAGAGGGGCTCATAATGATGGTGATTTCTTATCGTTATGACAATTTGAAAAGGGTTTTCGATGGTTGTTGAGGGAGTTATGGTGTGGAGAGAGATGGCATGAAGGGTTTGATGAGTGGTGGCTGCAATTGTTGAAGTTCATCTTGGTGGTTATTGTTTTTTTGATGAATGGTGACTATGGTAACTAGTGAAGAGAGTCTTGATGTGGAGAGAGATGGAAGGAAGGGTTTGATTGTACGGATGGGTATCAGCTGTGGTCGATGATGTTTAAAAAGTAGTTGTTACAAGTGAGTTTCGACTAGAGAAGAGGAGGTCGGTGATAGAGTTATGATTGATGTTGGAGGTTTATGGTTAATGAAGATGGTCGCTTATGGTGGTGAATCGCGGGATATGGATGTTATTGATGGGTGGTGGATCAACAATGAGGAATGACTAATAACGAATCAGTATTGAGATGTGGTTGTGGAGTGTGGTGGATT